AGAAATTTTTAAAAAATAAAATTTTACTTCTGGACTTTGTCCCTAAGTAAACCACACAGCCCAATTTTGTTCTCATTATAGTAATATATACAATATTTTCGTAAACATATATTAATATACTTCAAAACTGTTTTGTACTTGTTACAGCAGCAAGAAAAATATTTATAGTAGGTATATTTTCGATTCTAAATAAAAAAGATCAATAATAAGGAGTGTGTAACGTATAACAAATGCTTAATAAATGCGATAGTGGGTGAAATAACCTTAAATTTGATCGATGATCTTTATTTCCAAGCCATCTATAACGTCGTTTTTTTTCGATTGTATTGTACTTATCCACCTTAGTGTTATAAGACCTAAGGAAATGGTTAGATATACTTTTCTTGTTCTGTATTGTACTTTTAAAATGGCAAGCGTGTACATTGTTAGAAAATTAGGATACATACTTAAATACAGGACGAGTCTTAAATAAGTGCAAATTTTTTAGTTTGAGGTTTTTTTGAGAGAAAAAAAAATTGAAAAATTTTTTCCAAAATTTTTTGAAATTTTTTTAGTTAAATAAAAAATTGTTTTTTACCAGCAAAAAATAGTTTTTTACACGTAAAAAATAGTTTTTAGATGTAACAAATAGTGTTTTAAGCGTAAAAAGTAGTTTTTTACACGCAAAAAATATTTCTTTGCATGTAAAAATAGTTTTTTACGCGTAAAATTTTTTTAGACAGTTTTTTACGCGCAGAAAATAGTTTTGTACTTGTAACAAATGTTTTTTTACGCATAACAAATAGTTTTTTACGTCTCGCGCTCGTGTGTCACGCCTTGAATTTTAACCCTTAGCGCGCGAAAAAAGTTTCGTTTCAAAAAATCTTTTTTAAAATTTTTAAAGTAAAATAACTTGGCTGTTTTAGGCATATATTTGAAAAATATAGATAATAAAATATAATAAAGAGAATATATACGTTTTTTTTTTTATCGAGGTATAGCAGCCCTGAAAATATGTGCACTTGTTTAAGACTCGCCCTGTATAAACTTTACAAATATAACATAAACTACAAGTAAGTATACGTATATCACTTAAAAGTTAATAATTTAATTTAAGCAACAAAAACTTTTTAGACTAGAATTTTTCCATATAGATTCACCTAAAATAATATTTTTTTATGCAATTTTACTAAAAGAAGTGCTAATAATCAAACTATCCAATGAGTAGCTTCTTTTGGCTTTTAAAGAAAAACATTTAAAGATTTATTTTTAAATAACACACTGCATATGACACAACACATTTGAGTTACACACTGTGTTATTTGTTTGATTAAACTATAGTTTTTGTTAATCATTAAGAATGTTAATAAAAAAATGACCCTATCCAAGATACCACCGAACGCACATTTACATAAAAAAATAAGCCGTCATGGTAGCTTTTAAAACTGTAAAAATCTTATTGGTGGTATCCTGGATACGCAGACGATCAATTTATTTCTATACTCCTTGGATTATTTCTGCCACTTTGTGATCAGTGTCCCTGTTGTGGTTCTCGTATTCGACAACAAGACCTTCATCGTTGGGCTTTAGGGAATCGCTGTCTACGTGCAGTTTGACGTCGGTTGGTGCGGCTACCATAGAGCCATGAGGTCCTTTAACGAGACGCTCCAAATTTGTGCCTAAATTTAAAAACAGAGTCGAATTAGTTAGGAATATATAAATCTAGAAATAGAGGACATTATTCAAATTAAGCACAATACACCAAAATAATTTGAATGTAACTAGTGATGAGCAAGACTAAAAAAGATCATCCTATAAAGACATCTATAGGATATCCTCCAGACATTCTGAAATCCTGTAGATGTCTCAGAAATATCTCTGTCGTATATCTAATGTACATCCAGCTGAGATATCCAAACATGCTCATGATAATAAAATATCCTAACAATATCGTCTAGATATTTAGGAAAAATAAATAATGTACTACTTTTTATATTACATAAAATGCAATAAATCATACAGATAGATATATATTACGTCAAGGCAACAAAATATCCTGTTGGTATCTTCTGGATAATCTGGATATTTATGAGCTTGGCCACTCCCAGTAATACAGAGAATTTAAAACGCCCGCGCAAAAAATTTCCCACAACCCACAATCCATCTCGACAGTTATGATGTGGCATTAAAAAATAAATACAACCCTAAATTTTCACCCTTCTACCAACACCCACTATTTTTTTACATAGAAAAAATTAAACCATATTTTCATATTTTTTTCTAAATTTCTCTAAAACAGTATGAAAATTTGGAAAAATATACACGTGATTAACCATTTTAGAACAAGCAAATTTTTTTTATGAAGTATGCATTTTTCTCTATATGTCAATAATAAAAAAGTTTTTTCTCTTATAAAGACAATCCGGGGACATACTGTATAGCATTAAATTTAGATAAATTGCCAATGTTAACTGTTTCTTTTTCATATGCAACAAATGTGTTTTGGTGTATTCTGTTTTAAATTTGTTATAACAAAACAAATATTTTTTATAACTTAAATTAGGATTTTTCTAGAAATATAACAAAATAAGTTATACAAAATCTCACCTATTTGTTGTTCTTCTCCTAAATAGTGATGGTGTGCACTATTATCGCTCCTATTTTCATTCTCGGTATGGTGGTGATTGTGATGACCGTGATGCCCATGGTGACCGACCTTGTGATCAACCGATTTTGTGCTATCTACATCCGCAACGTCGTTTGGATGATGCACGATTCCCATACCGATGTGTGCTCCTAGAATGTCAACAGTTATATTAATGAAATTCTGTCAAAAACATATATAACTTTTTTCATGAAATTTTTATCAAGCTGTATATAATTATATCAACTTTATTATATTTATAAACTCATTTTTTTTATAAATTTTAGTATTTGACTTTATTATAATAGAGGATGGCGCCTCTCATACGGAGGACAACAGCTTGTATTGAAATGAAATTTTGAGAGCATTTGTAGGTTGATTTAGAGCATTTTTTAAAAATATAGAGAGTTCTACAGGGTGTCCCCAAAAAAAGTTACACATCAAAGTTGTGTTTTTTCTAATGGAACAGCCTATATAATAATTGATTTTCGGATTCTAGGAGAAAAATAAAAAAAAAATTAAGAGTTTCATTAGAGAAGTATATGGCTAAAATGTAACATATTTAACAATTTTTAAAAATGAAGAACAAATTTAAAATTCCAATAAATGCTACCTAAAGTATAATTTTTATCCGGCACGGCGCATTATGTAGTTAAAATAACTATTGTACTTTAAATCAAATTAAAATTTGATCCGCAAAGTTATACAGGCTGAGAGAAAATGAATATTGAACAGTAGTCACGTTTAAAATCAATTTACTGTCTTATTTTAAATAGAACACCCGGTATATTATTTCAAAACTCAGTGGAGAATTCATATATCTTTAAAATACTATTAAGGTTGCCTACCACCTTAATAGGCAACCTAGATTTTACCAAATAATAAATATCTACTGTCACTAAATCATAAAAATAAAAATATCTAGGAAAATCTTTGTTTGAGGGGTAGGCAATCTTAATAATATTTCAAAGAGACATAAATTCCCCATTGAATATCGGAATATTATACTGGGTGTTCCATTTAAAATAAAAGAGTAACTTGCTTTCAAATGTGACCAATGTTCAATATTAATTTTGTCTCACCCTGTATAACTTTTTGAGTTAAGTTTTAATTTCATTTAGAGCACAATGGTTATTTTAACTACATATTAGGTTATACCGGGTAAATTCTAAATTAGGTAGCTTTTATTGGAATTTCAAATTTGTTCTTCATTTTTAGAAAATTTTAAATAGATCAAAAACCTTACATTTTAGCCATATACTTCTCTAATGAAACTTTTATTTTTCTCCGAGAATCAATTAATATATAGGGTGTTCCATTACAAAAAATACGTCCGAAAATTTTTCCGTTTTTTTGTAACTTTGTGTAACTTAAAAAAGATTACCTTTATGGTGGCTTGGTGCACCTTCCAAGCCAAAGCTTTTAGGCAGTCCTTCCAGGTCTTTTCTGATTTTTTCGTTTTCCTTTTGGATATCGTTCAGACTTTTATTCAAGTCTTCCAATTCGGTGTTCTGGAGAAGACAAAACGACAATCATAACCTCAGAAATTGAGTCAAAGCATTTTTACTTACTTTATGTTCGGCAATTTCGTTTTGAATCTGTTCGAACCATTTTTTGAACTTGTCCTTTAACTTGATGTCGTGTTCGAAATGCTGTTTGCTTTGTGTGTTTTGATCTTCAAATAAATCTGAAAAAAACACAACAAATTGTATTATTTTGATTGGAAACATAAAAGAAAATAACCATCTATTAATATAAAACTTAAAAGTAAAATTTTATGTCAAAGAGCCCCTCCGTGTCCTTAGCCAAAAAAAAATAAAAAAATAGATAAATTTTATAGTGCATTAAAAATAAATGTTGTCTACAAGCTAATATTACAGTTGGGGGTTGCAACCTTTGGTGTTAAACAGCAAAATAAAACACTAAATCACCACAATACACCAAAACACTTTTACTTTTACACTGGACGCGCCATTCGCTAACCATGTTAGCATCATCAGCAGATGATCAAGACTAATTTAAAAAGTACAATTTTAGCGTTTATATACTCGCTCAGTGGGTACCGAGTGGGCGTGGCAAGATCTAGCCAACCGAGTCAGAGCCCACCGAGCCCAACAAAGAACTTGAATGAATTGGACCGTTATCTCTGTTCATACTATCTCTACATTTATTAATTCTGATGCTTTCATATGCATCTAATTGCCTGTAATTTGAGACTTGATTAATTAATTTTAAATTATTAAGATCTATACAATGTTCATTATCAACAATATGTTCAGCAACGCAAGATTTATTCAGTCTACCATATCTTATCTGAGCTAAATGTTCTTTAAATCTAGTTAATATTGATCTTCTAGTTTGCCCAACATATTTCTGATTACAATCTTTACAAGAAATTTCATAAATACCCGACCTTTCCAGTGGAGGTGTTTTATCCTTTGGATTAACTAATAATATTGTTGTAATTTAACTCGAGCGAATTTTCGCTCGAGTGATCGCTCGATTATAGAAATCGCTTGATTGATTATTAAAATTCATCGGTTTTTCCCATCACTTATCGTAACAAAGACGATATAAGCTTATACCGTATGATCGAATAAAAATGGCGTTAGAATCTATGTCATCCCATGTCCTCCTATGTCTATGAAATGAAGATCGCAGTCATTTTATATGTAAAATTATATGGGAAATGTCATCTACCGTCATTTCCAAGCCAACTGGGCGCCGTTTTCTTTATCATTTGGTATATTCAGCAAGAAATAAAATATATTGTTTACCTGGATGTATGACGTCTTCTGTAGGTTTGAATTGTTCTTGGTCCACATACAGATGCTTAGGCAATTCTTGAGTATTGGTAGCATTAATAGCATAGTCATCTGGACGAATCTTATCGCAGCTTTGACAGGAACAATTCATTATTATTTGAACTTTTTTCTGCAATATTTTCGAGTCATCTAAGTTATTGTCAGCATGTAAATTGACCTAAAAACAAGCATTATTAACTTAGTTATTTGATATTTTAGACCTAAAGGCTTGGTACATTTCAGTTGATTTTAAAAACTACCGACCGCAGCGCTCGGTACGGCAAAAATCAGAAGTTTTGGATAGACTTAATTCCTGAAGGTTTAAAGCTTGATTTTCATGCATCCGTTATCCGACGATACGATATTAATTTTATAGGTTGAATTTAAAGACTTCGATTGGTTAGAAAATTACAATTTGTTTGTGATTGGTGTCAATTTATATTTTCATTTCCATAACGATTTTGCTGTTTTACTTATAGTCTAAGAGCTAGCAACATCTTCGAGAGAGAATTTTAAGAAGGCGAATTCTTTAATATATATCTTTTGTTATACTTCCCTGAACAAAATGCGGACCGTCTGACTGTCGATAGATGTTGCGTTCTTTACTGCGCATCATATCTGTATTCAACATCTGTTCACTACTGTGCATCACAAATTCGACCTGTATTTCAGGAACTAAGGAGGCTAGGACAAACTTATGTGTAGCATATTTAGTTTCATAAAAAAGTGACAAAGTAATGTGAAAATCGCATTATTGTATCGCTATTCATAAACGAGAAATCCTATAAAACACACGAAAATGGGATACCTTGTACAGATGTGTTGCGCAGTAGTGAGCCGCAGTAGTCTACCGGCAGCCAGACGACCCGCACTTTGGTCGAGAGAGCATAGCAAAAGATATATTATAGAACCAGCTTTCTTAAAATGTTCGTTTTCCCGACGTTGCTAGGTATTGTACTATTATATTTTTATTAAGGTTAGATCAAACTTGTCAAAAAAAATGTCAAAACGTCCGTTATCGTACGATCTTTCTCCGTTGACGGGCTAGAGTAAAAAAATTACGGATGAAAAGTGGAACGAAAACGTTATGACCAATCATAGCGCCGTGGGACCATCGTATCAATGGATAACGGACACATGAAAATCAAACTTAAGTAGATTTTTTTTTAATAATAAGTCCTTACGTGGTAGCATTCGATTTCCGACGGTTGACAGCTGTCACAATACGGACCAATCAACTCTCCGGGTTCGGCGGGTTCGCTTTTGGGTATGCTGTAACTGAAGCATGCGCCGACGCAAACGTTGTTTTGAATGGTGACAGCTTTGAAGCCTGGAGAGGCGACGACTTGCTGGATGGGCGTGGTCTGGCACCAGGAGTGCTTTTCTGGATACAGCACTATGTTGTGGACCTGCGGAGACAAAAATGTTTAGACAAATATTACTAGGATTGTATCTAAAATTTTGTTGATGATAAACTCACTTTGTGTTCTCTTTCGCACGAAATATCTTGCTGGGTGAGCATTAGGAGTAGTATGGGTAGTAATATGGCAGTCCTGGAAATAAATATATTATTAGGATAATTTGAAAAATAGAATATACAGGGTGGTCCGAACTGTATTCCGGAAACTTCGGCAAGATATTCTGCAGATAAAAATAAGTAAAAAAGTTTGTATAAATGTATGTCGTAAAATGCTTAGTTTCGGAGATACAGGGTGTAGAAGTTTCATTTTTATTTTGACCTTTTTCAAATAATTTCTGAAAATGGTGTCTGGTAGTTTTTTGACATGAGAAATTTGATTTTGATGTAAATATAACTCCTATTTCTAGGGGGCGCCACCTACATGTGTTTTAACTGTTTTGAAGAGTAATAACTTTTCGTCCGTACCTGTATAAAACTACCGAGTAAAAAAAATATACATTTACGACGTTTATTACGTAAAAAAGGTCTCTTGGTGAAAATCGGTACGATTAATGCTTCTCAAGATATTTGGAATCGAAATTATCAATACCTGTCATCATTGACATAAATTAAACATGTTGACAAAATAGTTATTGGGCTGAAATCAAAAGTTCCAAAGGGACCAAACCAAAAGTTCAACAGAAACTCTTTTATTATCATTTTTCGAAGAAAAATTTATGATTACTTTAAAAAAATAAAAAGTTCCCAAATTTCTCATTTCAGTTAAATAACTATCTACTCAACACCTTTATTTTTTGTCAATAATGACATGTATTGACTATTTCCATTCTAAATATCTTGAGAAGGGTTGCTCGTAGCGATTTTTATCAAGAAAAAGATTTTTTACGTAAAAAATCACCAGAATGTATATGTTTTCATTCATTAGTTTGATACAGGTACGGACGAAAAGTTATTACTCTTCAAAACAGTTAAAACACATGTAGGTGGCGCCCCCTAGAAATAGGAGTCATATTGACATCAAAATCAAATTTATCATATCAAAAAACTCCCAGACACCAATTTTCGTCTAAATATTGACGTTACTTCAGAAATTATTTGGAAAAATTAGAAATAAAAATGAAACTTCTACACCCTGTATCTCCGAAAGTAAGCATTTTAGGTAGCGATAGGAACTATCGAATAAATTAGATTATCGAATGGTTAATAAATGAATGATTTCAACTATCGAATGGTTTTATTCGAATAAAATCATTCATTCATTTGTATACTAAAGCATATGTGACAACCTCGCCGTGCGACTAAATGGTTATCGTTGAACCACGACTATCGAATGCTTTTGATAAATGAAATTTAGTATTCGTTTGATTTTTGTATGCGTCAGTGCATTACTAGTTCTTCCAAATTTTTATAACTTCGCCGTATAAATACTGTGCTATTTTTGCGTTTATTAAAATAGTTAAAATACTAAAATAGTAGTTATTTTTTAATTTTATTTATTGACAATTGTGTGCATATGCAGGTGGTCAAATTTTTTCCGAAAATTTGTGTGGTTTTCCGTAGTCCGATCTTTCAATTATTTAATTTTATATGGTATATGGCTATTTTTTAATGGGAAATTTTGAGAAGTAGCAATTTTTAAGAGAGATGAGATGAACTTACAATTAATTTTAAAAATACATATTTGTATTTTAGATGTTTTAATAATATGAATTAGTTGAGCTTAATAATCATATTTAAGTAATGTGGTAATTTTGACATATAATTTGTTGTTTATATTTTGCTACTACTTAAAAAAAATATTTATATTAAATGATTTTAAATTTTGTTGTTAATAGGTATAACAAATTATTACTGTTATTATTATTTATTAAACCAGTCTTTGCTTAAAAACATTAAAAATCATTTTCCTGCATCCAAAATAACAAGTATTATTGCAGTGTAACAACAGAATATTAATAAAAAAAATGCAGAATATATAGACATACTAACCCTAACTAACTAAAGCCAAACAATAATATTCTTTGCTAATATCAACTAATACCAAAATATGGCAACAGCGCCCTTCATAATGTATTTTCTGTGTAAATACTAGCACCTCAATAAAAAAAATAATGTGCCCAATAAAAAAAATAATGTGCCCTTATCTATATCTGACTCCGCAAAAAATCAAAGATGCCGGCTTCTTTCATAGCATTGCCACCGACCGCTGTCGGGTTTCTCGGAAAGAAACCTACGTCGCCGGGCGACAACTAAAATTCAGTTAATATTTTATTACAATCGATCCTGACCAATAAATGAATTTCATAAATGAATGAATTTTATAAATGAATGGTTTTGCTGCCGAATTACTAGAATACAATAGGTGGCGCCCCCTAGAAATAGGAGTCATATTGACATCAAAATCAAATTTATCATATCAAAAAACTCCCAGACACCAATTTTCGTCTAAATATTGACGTTACTTCAGAAATTATTTGGAAAAATTAGAAATAAAAATGAAACTTCTACACCCTGTATCTCCGAAAGTAAGCATTTTAGGACATACATTTATACGAACTTTTTTACTTACTTTTATCTGCAGAATATGCTGCCGAAGTTTCCGAAATACACTTCGGACCATCCTGTATACTTTAAGCTAGGAAAAAAATTAAGATTTGGCTGGAATATGGAAAATCAGAGATTAATAATAGTTATTTATGTATCAACGGAATTATAAGGGTGTCAATTACATTATACGAGGACAAAGTTTCATAGATAATTTTATTTCTTACTGAATTTAGTATATTTTGTCCCATTTTAAAGCGACACAAACATTGCATTTATTATTCTTCCGGTAAATTTGTATTAACGCTGCTGGTCATATCGCAATGCAAATGGAAAGCCACTGCTTTCCGCACGCCACTGGCGGCTTGTTCGAATTCTATGTAATATAATACCCCGTTGCGCGGCATGCATGATGTCTGAAAACTAGTAATGCAAGTTCTAGTTTTTTTCCTCAAAGATTACAATCTCGAAATAAAAAGAAATAGTAGCTAGATTTTGATCTTAACAAGACACAAGCCGATTCCAAGCTCTGGTTTAAGAAACAGTATATAGTTTTAAGTTGAAAGCAGTAAGAAGTTTATATATATATATTAGAAAAATATGGAAAAAAGATATACATAGATAAATAAAAGTCTTAAGAGGCTTATTTAATAACCTGGCAAACATTCTTTTTCCATATAAATATGTTTTGGAGGGCAACAGTCATTTTTATTCACTGGGTTGAAAATGATTGAATTACTAATATCGCTATTAAAAATAGGGGTTGATTATTATTAGATAGGGAGAAAATTTAGAGTTGTAAGTAATTTTTAATGCCACTTCATAAAAAAAATTGTCTAAAAAATAAAAAAAATTGCGGTGGACTATCCTTATCACCTAGGGGTACAAAAAATAGATAACCTATTCTCAGACCTACTGAATATACATATAAAATTTCATCAAAATCGGTCAATCCGTTTCGGAGGAATATGGTAGCTAAAACTGTGTAACACGAGAATTTTATACAAAATAGTTATTATCAGCAATCAAAAGACCAAAATAATACAAGTTTTACATTCCTATTACTATTTTTCCTGCTCGACAGTTTTCAATCTAATAATCGCTTCCTTTCACAGCAACCATCATCAACTTTATTTTTTTAAATACGGATTTGGATATCTTATTTCTAAGATATCTCTGACGGCCGTTTTTTTTTGTTTATCGTATTTTCATATTGTATAAAATATCCAGCAAAATATTTTTGTGCTATAATCCTATCCCATACTCGTATACCATATAATAAAAAGTAATAAGTAAAAGATAATAAATCGTATCCCATACTCGTATACCAATATTAAAATATACAGGGCGAGTCAACGATAAAGTTCATTATCTCATTTGTTTCGAGGTTTTCAAAAAAAATATTAAATATAAAAATTATAGGGAAGGATAAGATACACACTCTAAAATTATTACAAAGTATACAGAGTGCTCCAAAACTGTGTAGCGGATATAACATAGGTTTTTTTAAATGCAACACCCTATTTTTTATTTTATTTTTAGATTCCAGGTAACATTCTATAACTCTTTTATAATTAATGTTATATACCTAAAATTAATAGTTTTTGTAATATTTCAATTTGTTTAAACAAATGTTAGATTTGTGTGGTAAAAAATTGTCAGTGATGCCGTTGTTTCTGAAGTTGGACTACTAAAATTTGGTAAGAGAGTTTTATAGAGATATGAAAAAAAAAGATATGTGTAAAGGTATTTTAGTTAGATGCTACAGGACGTTTAAAATATATTTATAAATTTCAGTTACTTAAAATTTAAAAATCTGATATCTTTTGTTATTTCTCTACAATAATTTTAAAATATGTATCTTAACCTTCCCTATAACTTTTATATTTAACTTTTTTTTAAGCCTCGAAACAAAAGAGTTAATGGACTTTACTTTATCGTTGACTCGCCCTGTACAATTTATTAGTACCAGTTTCAGAGCATTTACACCTCAATAGTATTCAATTCGCACGCTTATGCATTTCGTCTATTTATATGCACTTGTGTATTTGTCTTTCTACAGAAATATATTTACTTGGAATTGATATAATAAATCTAAAAATTCCACTTTCAGCCAATTTATCTCTAGTTTGTGTATTTGTCTTTGTTGGCAACGTTTGACATTAACACATCCCTGAATAAATATACCTACGTGTATTTTATTCACTGTAAAAGGACACTTGCAACATTTTCACACATATTAAGTTAAAATTTTCCGTGCAAATTCATTTTACAAATAAACAAAACGACAAACAGCAAATCTGATCGAAAAAATTGGTGACATAAATATTACATAATTTTTTTTTTCAAACGTCAATAGTTATTTTTGTATCTAGTGCGCGAAGTGCTACTTTGGTGATCGATACTTGAATTTTTTAACGAGGCGTAGCCGAGTTGAAAAATTAGTCGCGATCACCAAAGTAGTTGCAAACAACATTTTTTCTGCAAACATATACGATAGGATACGTCGAGGATTCTATCAACAATAAAATTCAAATATCAAATAAAATTCTAGAGTGTCAAATACCTCTACATCAAAATTGGATAGTG